AGAGAACCGGCGCTCTATTTTCCCTGAGGTAATCTCTTGTTGTCTGTCCTTTCTCACTCAGTGATGTTTACTAACAGTACGAACAACAAGAGGTTTGGTACTGATCTTGACTAGTCGCAATTGAGGGGCCGGCCGAGTCCACACTCCATATACTGGACTCCCGGTGAGCCGCGACCACGCCCACCCCTGAGGCCTGAATAGAAAAAGCAAAAGCAGCTAAGAACGTTAGAGAGGCATGGTAATTTTTCAATTTGTGAATATTTCATTCTGGGCTGCTACCCTTTCGTCACGGTGGAGACGAAGGGCTCGCCTGTCACCGGAAGCATACGATCTATCGTTGGGCACAGGACGGCTGTGAGTCGGAAAGTCGGAATTGTATAGGCTTAGAGATAAATCGAGAGCGCAGCTTATAAGGCACCGGCTCTATGTCTGATTGGTTATGGGATCGGAGCAGGGGTGTTATAAACTATTTGCCAATGGGTCCGAAAAAGCCTTCGAAATCCAATTCAGCAAGCAGGGGTGCAAAATACGAAATGTTACATTGTTTTTACGCACAATCCATAAAAAGTAGTTCAGATAAAGAGGAAGACCTTCAAAATCTTCGGTGTCCCGTCGCTTTTCACCACCTTTTTCATGCAGTCTTTGGCATACATCTCTGAAAAGGAATGGTCTCACACCGGAAAATGGATCTGTAAGAAGCATTGAGCCCAGGTACAAATGCAGTTGTCTCTGCGGAGTCCTCACATCGGGTAGACATGGTGTGGGAAAGGGTCAGCGATAACTTTTTCGCATTTAGTAAGTTATTAAGGTGATAACTGACCCAGTCGATTCAATCCATGGCTGTAATGGCCACGTATATCCGCCTCGAGAAGTACGTCGGCTAGTTGTTCAGCATGCGATGGGTTGACCTTCTGCGTCTTCATGAGGTCAACCATGAATCGGCGCATCTGTAGGAGGCATGATGATCAGTGTGCCACCACGGTAGTTTCTTTGATGAGCAATACCGCCACACTTTTCTTGGTGAGCTGGTTGAGGTCAGACGTTGCCGTGGCTAATCCTATTCACCTGAGATGGGCATATCCAAATCAGTCCCGTCGCTACTTGGTTGGGAGACGGCGAAATACCCTGTGAAAATGGGCAAAGTCGTGACTAGATCCCAGCCCATAACATCCTGATCCTCAATCCAGCCCTTTGGACACCGTACTGCATGTCCAAGACTGAGAACACCATCCAACTGAGCCTACTGTACTGTCGGATCAGCGCGGTTATCGTTCTGTTCAGAAAGGTAGTCGAATATCTTACTGTTATGGAGTATTTTGTGTTACGAAGACTGAAAGTGTGGGTTCTCTCTATCGCAGTCCTTGAGCTAAGACGATGACTCTAGAACGGCTTCTGTCGACTGTACTTGGGTGACGCGAGTGAACTGGTAGGGAGTGACTACTTTACTAAAGGCAAGAACACCTACAAGGTTGCTTGTACGACAACTTATCTTGAAGATGCCGCTTCCCTTTCATAGAAAAGTTATTCCTACAGGGTTTGATAGTTGTTTGATTCAATGGTAACTCATTTTTTTCAAAAGAGAGTAGTTTAAAGTGGATTGCTCAGGAAGAAAGTTTTACTTCTACATACATCATCTTTTGCGACGACCTTGTCTCCAGGATTCGCTCCATTCAACCAGCGCACACCTGTTCTACGCAGAACATGAGAACCGTGACGAGTACAGCGAAACATTCTGAAAGTACCCGAAGTTGAAGGATTTCAATTCTGATGAAGTGAAATTTGCTGGTAGAGCGGCAAGTTGCAGTTTTT